AAGTCTCGGATGAAAATCTTGGTCGTCGATATCATGCTAAAATACGACATGTAAGCTGCGTTTCCGGAAAACCCCTGGCTGCCAAACAGCGTGCTGCTGGGATGTATAAACACTCGGCCAGGCTCTTGGCAAAAGTATTTGATTGCCCTCGCCTCGGGATCTAGCTCGACGGCTCCAGACATGGAGCTCGCAAATTTCTTGTCTGGGTACTGGATTCGCGCAATTTGTGGCGTAAAGGCAGAGGCTATCAACGCTCTCAGGAGTAAAGAATTCTGCGTATTGCCAGTTGCTTGGGAAGACGAAGACGGCGAGAAGCCAATTTCCCTCAGGGCGTCGTAGTACTGGGTTCTCGTATTTGAAATGTCAGATAACGTCTGGAAGGACAAAAAGTTCTCGTCGCAGAATCCTCTAATCTGGCGCTGGGGCGTTCCTCGATCTCTCATCATCTCGTCCCACTGGTTAAAGGCCTCCAGGTCCGTAAGCAAATCGCCATCTCCCCTGTAAAAGCGAATTCTAGCTTCTCGAGCTTGGTCTCGCTTCTCTTGAGGTGAAATGAACGGACTCCTGGTGCTGAGAATGGCAGCAATGGTGACGCAGTCATCCAAGCAACCAAAAATGGCGCCAAAGACCATGAGCTTGCCGCATCTCAAGTCGGCCGGCAGCATGGCCAGCTGCTGTCCCATGGCTGTGAGCTCATCTCCATCCAGAGCCCCCATCCGCCGCAGCAATGTCATGGCACCTTCAATTGCTGGAGTTTCAGGCGGGGTTGGAGACCGTCCGAGGAATCGAACTACATCCTTCATGCCCATGGCCCGTACCGACAAGCACAGCTGTTCGAGCGGCACTCGTCTAATCTCGGGCTCAGGACGCGGCGCCATGTTCTGTTCGAGATTTTGGGTGTATAGTTTGTAGCATTTACCTGCTTGGACACGACCGGCTCTTCCTTGCCTCTGCTTGCACGCCGCTCGAGATGCCCATGTTTCTTCTAGCTTCCTCATATTGTTTTGCGGATCAAAGCTAGTCTCCTTCACCTTTCCACTGTCGATGACGACGACAATGTCGTCAATCGTAATGGAAGTCTCTGCAACATTTGTGGCCACAACTACCTTTCGCTTTCCAGGAGGAGCACTTGAAAACACCCTCTTCTGCTCCCTCGTCTCCAAAGAAGCGTGCAGGGGGAGAACATGAAGCGAGTTGATGGCCCTGAGGCTGTTGCAGGCTTGATTAATTTCTCCAACACCGGGTAGAAAGATGAGGATACCTCCCGAGTTTTTATCATATGACAGCTCATAATCAATTGCCTTGACAGCTTCCGCAATCAAGCTGTAATTGATACGATGACCCAGCTTCTGGATGACTCTTCCCATCGTTTCGTCACCAATAAAGCTTCCGTCATCAGGTCCATCAACACCGAATCCTGTCATGCGAACCACATCGTCGAGGTGATACTCTTCAACAGGGAATGTTCGGCCTGAAATCTCAACGCTCCCAACACTCAGGCCCTCTGTTTCAAAGTAAGTCTTGAAAGTCGCGGCGTCAAGCGTAGCTGACATGAGAATTAATTTCAACATGTCCTTCTTCTTGATCATGACCTCTCGAAGCAGATTCAAAAGGAAATCGGTATCCAGGCTTCTCTCGTGAACTTCGTCAATGATGACGTGGCTGACATCGGCCAAAGAGGCCACGACGTCATCTACTCGGCCACCAGACGTCTGGAGTCTTCGCAGTAGCACACCAGTTGTGACAAAGGTGATTCTGGTGTCTCTAGACTGTCGGGACTCGCCGCGGATAGCATATCCTACCTCTCCTCCCACTCGCGAGCATCGCTCCTCTGCCACGCGATCAGCCAATCCCAGTGCCGAAATTCGACGTGGCTGCGTGACAATCATGTTTGCACATCCACCGAGGCCCTTTTCGTACAAATCATCCAGCAGAAATTGAACAGACTGCGTTGACTTTCCTGATCCAGTCTCACCACTGATAATAGTAACGTGATTCTGGTTCACCGTTCTGATGATGGCGTCCTGCATCTGCCAAGCCGGTAAAGCCTGGCGCTTCGTAACCATTTGCTTCTGCGACGGATTCTCTTGTCGACGGAACCATTCTTCCTTGCTCTTTGCGTCTGTAATCCATTTGAGAGGCCTGGGTGGGCCACGGGAGCGCTTGCTTTTGGCCACAGATGTTGCTGGCCGACTTTCAGAGGCAGCAGAGGACACTGCCGAAATGTCTAGAAGCTTGCCTGGGTGACTGATAATGCTGTTGATGTTCTGCTGAATCCAATCGACTGTAAGATATATCTTTGCTGGCTCGTCTCGCAAATCTTGTTCAATATGAGCCAGCATCTGCTTCACGATGCTGAGTTTGATATATGAGGGGAGCTTGGCGACGATGGCAAGAATAATGTGCCTCGGATAGCTTGACCCCTTTCGTACTTGTAGATAAGTTTCCACATCTCCGTTTTGTGCATCCTTGACTGACTCAAGACGTATTTGTATGATGTTATCGCCATCGCGACGGAAGTTGTTGCCGTAGATAGACTCTAACGTGGCCACTTCCTCGTCCCATTGTTCTTGAGGCGTTCCAAAATCAAGGAAATCATCTCCCGATTCTTCTGCGCCCTCTTGGTTTGAGGCAACAGACGGGAAAAGAATGTTCTGCAGCGTTTCCGCAGCCGCATCTTCATTGCCACCATGCTGATCCAACACACGAGTACACAGCTCCAGGGAGTATCCAGTCTGGCAAAGTCGTTGTATTATGCCTTCTCTCTTCAGGTCTGTAGCTCCAATAGTCACACCAGCTGAATACTTCTCGGGAAGAGCCCACCTAGGGAGATCATCCTCGGGAACGTGTATCAGGAGCCATTCCAGGGTTTCTTGGCGATCTTTGCAATACTCCACGGCTTCTGCTACGTGGCTCTGTCGGAAGCCCAGTTTGCCAAGCTCGGAAACGACACTCTTCTTCTCGGCTGGAGTCATGGAGACGTTATGAGGGTTCCATGTCACGCCATCTCGCAGCAGAGACTCCAACTGGATTCGGGTCTGTTTCCCCATCTCGACCTTGGGCACACTCGTCCAGCCCTTCATCACATTGGATCCAGATCCACCGCTGTTGCTCAGAAGCACCAACCCTGCCGCTCCAGGCAATTCCTTGGCTTTGGCCTTGGCCTGTTCAATCTCCTGCCGCTTCTTCTCTGCCGCAGCCTTGGTATCCTGGCGCTCCAGCAAGGTCTTGAACGGATCCGCCTCGTACATCCACGCCTTTCCATCCTTGACATCTTGAGTCTTTAATGCCTGGAAGTCTTTCCACAGAGACTTGTAGTCCGGAGGGAGAACCATGTGTTTGTTCTGCATGCTGCATACCCTGAACAAGGCATACGTAGCAGCCGTGTGCTTGGCCTCGAGAGCTGTATCCCTCAGTAACAGATGCTTATGAGATAAAGGGATCTTGAAAGGCTCCAGCGTAATGGTCTGCTGGGTCTTGAGGTCTTTGGCGCTCAGCGTTACCCAGACCGAGAAGCCCTCAGGCGTCTTCCGCGTATCGTACACCGGCCTGTCCCATTTCTGCTTCTGACAGTACTCGCTGAGCAGATTCACCGGCAGCTTGCCTGTCCAGGACGAGCCTCCAATGATCTGCTTCACCGTCGGCTTAGGGGCAACCGGCGGCAACACCTCAGCAGAGGCCGTATCTGCGGCCTTTTGCCCCTTTTTACCTTTACTGCCGCCGTTTCCATCCTTGGATGCTGCAGAGGCTTGGCTTGGTGCAGGCGCTGGGGCCTTCACCTTGCCTTTCTTTACCATGCTATACCGAGATGCGGATGTGCCACTAACAGAAGCCGGGTCGTCTCTTCAGCTTCGGGTTGGAGTCGAGACTTTTGGCGTGTGAAAGCGGTGACGAACTCAGAACGCTGCAATGGTGAATGTCTAGCAGAAAGGAATAAGCAAACAGCCAAGTGATCCAGATACACATCAATCAGGGCAATCTGGCCCGTTACTCCGATACGGTCAGGTTTTTTATCGTCTGCGGTTCTTCTTAGATGCTAGACGTATCGGCGTTGCAAATTTTATGGGGCGGATATAAGGCTCCTCAACAAGTTTCGCACTGTATACCTGCTGATTAAAGGGCGCATCACATACAGTGCCTTTCAAAAAATTACAAGCACTGAGTGATAACGGCAACGGTGACCTGAAGATGGCCAATTGCCAAATACTCTGCCCAGCAGCTCTTCCTAAGAACGCAAAGCAAAGCCAACTAAATGTACCTACGTGATTGAGATCTACATGAGCTTCGATTTTGGGGCCGAGAGCGACCTTACTTGGCCGCATACTTCATACTTCATATTTCATGTCGGCTTCTCTGGTTTATAATAGTGATAGGATCATCTGCTTCTTATTTTACTACTTGAAAATGTAGACATGAGATGCACAAACACTTGATTGTTGCATCCAGAGCAGCTTGCTTTGTTGACGCCTCTCCCGGTAATAGCACAATGCACTGGCACTGGCTTCGTATCCGCATCGTCAACCATGGTGTATGCCTTCAGACCACCAAACCAGACCAGACAGAGCCAGGTAGAGTAGTTGATCGGGGGTCACGCGGGCCTCGATGCTCGCTCTTCATTGACCACGGCCATCTAGGCCCATACCCACAAAGTTTTCGTCCCAAGATCTCCCTCTCCAGACTATCCGCATTGCTTTTCTTCCATCACAGCGTCATCTCAGGCTGGAGCTTTCAAGCTACCATAGGGCCTGCTATTTTCGTTGGGCTACTCTGTTCCTTACCCTTCTCTCATTCATCATCTTCCTCTCCTCGCACAAATTGCCAAGCCAAATTAAACGGGGGAATAGTGTAGTGTTGCCAAAGGGTTTGGGGGTTTATGAGCAGAGATATGACACAAGGTGGTCTCTTGCTCGTGTTCATGACAATAATAATAAAAGTGCGTTGGGGGAGTTGTTATGGTCTTGGGGAAGCCAATCAATTTGGGAGGCGGGACGTGCTCAGCTAGTTGGTTGCACGAGAGCATCAACCTTAAAGCTCAAAAGTTCGCAGATCTTCCTACATATCCATAGAATCACCTCCATTGGCAAAGTTGAATCCTCCAGCTTGCGCAGCGCCGTTGGTGCCGAAACCAAATGTGCCGTTGGCGCCGGTGGGCTGAGAAGCGCCCTCATCTGCGTTCTCTTCCTCGTCGGAAAAGTACTTCTCGATGATGTTGTACGCCTTCATGTAAATCTCCTCGTTGGCGTTGTTCTGGCAATCGTGGATCTTCTCCATGCCACCGCACTCTTCAATGAACAGGGCATAGCGGTTGATCGAGTCGGCACCTTCACCTGCGGCCTGTCTATCCAAGTCGCCTATCTTGAGGATGTTTTCTAAGCCATCAAGGGCAACCTGTATGATCTTGTTGTCGGGGCAAGCAAGGAGATCGCACAAGGGCTTGATGCAGCCTTGAGCGACGAGGTATCGAATCTGCTCAGGCTTCTGGAGGCCGCCTGAAGTGGCGTTGCTGATAGCCCAGCAAGCCTCCTTGCGAGTCTTGAGGTCGCCATTCTGCAAGAGGTGGATCAGAGGAGGAATGATGTTGGCATCGATGACAGCCTGGATCTGAGAAGAATTTCCGGCAGTGATGTTGGAGATGGTCCAGCAGGCTTCCTTGCGAATACCATCCTTGGTTGAGCTCAGAAGAGACAAAAGGCAAGGAAGGGCGCCGCTGTTGATGATGACCTGAGTCTGGACATCGTCACCAGTAACAATGTTGCCAACAGATCGAAGAGCAGGAGTCTGCACTGAGGTGGATGCGTGAAGAAGAAGCTCAACGAGTCTACGAGGAATACCGGCCTCGATAACAGCCTGAATCTTATCGTTGGAACCGTCGGACAGGTAAGAAATGGCCCAGCAGGCATCGATCAGGACCTCGTCATCAAGAGAGTACACAAGCTTGGCCAGGACAGGAAGGGCCGGAGCAATCTATATGAAAGGATGGTCAGATATCATCAGATAAAAGAAGAGTCACAAAGTCTCAAAGGCTCGAGAAAACATACAGTGTTCCAATCGGGCTGAGGGGTCTTGCCGCGGCAAAAGTTGCTCAAGGTCCAGGTCGCGTTACGAAGCATGCTGAGCTTGCGGCTGTCTCCCAGCAAGCTAAGCAGGGGCTTGAGAGCTCCGCAGCTAAGGACATAGTCGCGGCAATGAGGGCTGTCACCAGCAATGTTACCAAGTGCCCAGACGGCCTGCTCTCGCACATCGGGCTCAGGGCTGGCAAGGAGCTCGACGAAGATGGGAACAGCGCCAGCCTCAATGACGACCTGGGTTTGGGTGGCCGAGCCAGAGGCGATGTTGGTCAGGGCCCAAGCAGCCTCGAACTGCACCAGGGTGTGGGGGGATCGCAGGAACTCGACGAAGCGGCTGACGACACCGGTCTTGATGACCTCCTCGATGGGAGGGTTCCGCTCCTTGGACAGCAGCTTTCGGAACTTGGTGGTGGCTTGGATTTGGAGATCGATCTGGTCGGAGAAGACACCAGATACCATCTGAGGAAGATCCTCGTTCAACTGTTCGGTATCATGTTAGCAATGCCTTGGCAATATTCACATTCTCTCATCGTTTCAAAGCCGCCGTGCCGTTGCTGAGCTGGACCAAGCCTGCAGAATTGCTGATGTGCAGCTCTATGCCCAGTCGGTCAGAGCGGCGCCCACCAGAGGATGTGGGGTTCAGTCATAATTCCCCCACATCACAGGCAAAAGAAGGTCCCAGCATCACGACACAGCGCTGCAAGGTAAATAGGATCCTCGCAAGGGAAAAAGGCTAGGGTTGAGACAGAATAGAATAAAGAAGAGAGCTGAGCTCTGCATACCTGAGACTCGGTAGGGGCGGACTCATCGTCGCTGTCGGGCGCAGCGCCCAGAGCAGCACCCGGGCGGCTATCACCAGACCCAATGCCTCGTCGCTTGGCTAGGTTTTCCTCGCGCTTCGCCTTGCGGATCTCGACCTGCTGCTCCTCGCGGCGGCGGCGGAGCTCATCGGGCTTGAATGTGTTCTTGGCCTTGAACTGGGTTCGGCGATGCTCTGGGATATAGCGGTCCGCCATGGTGCTGACGACGATGCGCTTCTGGCAGACGAAGACGACGGAAGGCGGGCTGAGCAGGGGTTGTAGAGTTGCTGCGCGGGGACGGTTCACAATGCGAGCTGTAGCGCCGTCGACGATGGAATTGTCTGCTTCAGGCTGCTATTGGATGCGTCCCTACTTTTTCGGAGTAAGGTGCAGAATGGGGAAAAAAAAAGAGGTTCTTGGGGGGAAAGGGAAGAAATCGGAGGGTTACAGGGCAAAGTCAAAATCAAATACTAAACTTAGATAGGCGGCAAGAATTGACTGCGGCAAACTTTACGGTTGCTGGAGCGCTGAACCGCCGCTAAAAGCTTTCACTTGCCGCTGACGCTGAGACAGGATGCCTAAGGCACAAAGCGTGGCTGGACCAAGGGCATGCAGCCGTCCCTCAGTATCGCGCAGTACTTGATTACCCCGCCTTGAGCTGGTGGTCACTGCGGTACAGCATGCTAGAAGCTACGTGCTGTTTCTACCGGCTTGAGACTTGATTCACAATAGAGCTTGTACTCAGTACCTGTACTTCCGCGCATTTATGATTCACAGCTGAGACTGCGATGATAAGTACTAACCATGCAGGTTCCTATGAGGCGTATAAAGTCATCACTTTCAGTGGTTTCAGTGAAGTACGAGGAGAATTATGTCATCTGCCCGCTTTCGCTCGGTGCCCATCACGTGCTCTCGCGCCTTGTAAATCAACCCCTCGGCTCCATAATTAGTCCTCTTTCAGCGAGACGCGAATCCATCGCTGATACGCGTCGTTCTGTCACATAATCCGCCTAACACCCAATATACGCCGCATCGAGCTGGGACTTACTAATTGGGCACCGCCTATACTTCAGATGAGGCTTAGTTGAATCGCATAATCAAAACCATGGTCAGCCATGGCTCCTCACCCCAACGAGCAGCAAATCTCACTGCCCAGCAGCTTCACATCGATTCAGGACTTATATAAACGTGGACGTGGAAACTTGGTGAACGTCATTGGCATTATCAAAGACTTCAAGCCCCCCATTCGCACCAGGGGAACTGGTAAGCGCTGCTTTATTGGATATCTCACGCCCATGTTTCTAAATTACGGCTGGCACGTCTAGATCACAAGTGTGAGATCTGCTTGTATGATCGCTGTAGCGAAGATGGCTCGTTCGATTCCATTACACTCAACGTTTTCCGGCCAGAAAATGAGATGCCAGATCCAGGCCTTGGCGATGTGATAGTGTTGTTCCAAGTCAAGGTCGGCTCGCCTTTGTCTCCCAAGATAGCAAACTTGTTATGCTAAGTAAGATGCCAGTTTCAAGAGCGCTCTGAAGTCCTATCACTCGTAACGCACAAGACTACAGATATTCATTTGTATTCGGCACGTCAGATTCCACCTCCACCGGAGAGTGCCTCGAATGCACTCCGCCCCGAGCCACGGAAAGCAACCCACAAACCCGGGCAGCCAATACATGAATACGTCTCATTCTTCTATCACTCAGTCGATAAGAGCTGCATCCCATCCGAAGTAGAGTTCCAGGACATCAAGGCGAAATATATCACTGCCAATGAGAAGTTCAAGGAGCTCAAAGATGTCCAGGTTGACACATTTGTCGATGTGATAGTTCAACTAGTCAGACAGCCCTACGACAACGACTACAGAATCACTCTCTGGGTATCGGATTACACTGAGAACGACAGCTTCTTTAATTTTACATGGAAGGGGCCTACTATTCGTGCAGATAAGCCCGCGGATCCTCATGAATATGAATCCGTCATGCCATACGTTGCAGACTCGGGAGGGGAGTGGAAAGGTCCGTTTGGAAAACGAAGCATGCAAGTCACTTGCTTCGATCCGCATACGGCATACGTCAGAGAACAAGGCCTTTCCATAGGTTCTTGGGTCTTTCTTCGAAACCTTCATATCAGAAAAGGGCGCAACGACGCAAATATCGAGGGCTTCATGCGAGAAGATCTAAAGATTAACATCGCGCAGATGGATACCAAAGACACAGTATCTCCTGATCCTCGCCTCAAAGAGGCTCTTCGCCGCAAGCGTGGCTATGAAGAGCTAAAGAAGATTCAAAGCCAAGAGATATTCAACGCGTCGTGGGCTGGAAAGAAGAGAAAGAGTGACTTGGCCGAGATGGGAATAACATCAAGCGATAAGCCAAAGAGGAACAAGAATAAAAAGAAGTCAAAGAAGAAATCGATGGGACATGAAGAGTCTGTGACATCGTCAGCTGTAGGCTCGACTATATCATCAACAAATGATAATAACTCAAATGGTAACTCTCTCCGTCTTTCTTTTCCTTGCCCTCGTTCAAGATTTTTTGCACCACTTTGACCTAACAAGATCAGTCAAATGCGAATACGAAAACAAACCCATCAGCACCTTCGAAGATATCTTAGATCCTATATACTACAAAACGAAAATCAACAGCAAGGAAGTCGAATTACAGCTTCCCTTTGTAAACTTGAACTACCGCGCGGACGTGCGAGTCATCAATTTCATGCCTCCCGACCTCAGAGATTTCGCTCAGCCAAAAAGGATGTCGGAATATGCGATGCTCTCTGATTATGAGGAGTCGGATGCAGATTCCGACGAAGAGAGAGGGTCAATAGCGGACCGTGCCGCGGTGCGACAGTGGGAATGGCGATTCTTCTTGGAATTAGAAGATGCAAACTCTCCCAACGACCATGGTGGGAAGAAGAAAACTCTCTGGGTAGCAGTAAACAACTTTTCTGCGCAGTGTCTTTTGAATCTGGACGCCTCTGATTTACATCAAGACGAGGATAATCTCGATATCTTGCGTGATCGGCTATTCCTCCTATGGGGAGAACTAGAAGAAAAGAAGAGCATCAGAGAAGAAAACAAGCGCCGCGCAGCTCGGGCAGCTCTATCAAATACAAATCTGAATCGGCCTCCGTCGCACAGTTCCGACGATGAGGGCCCTGCGCCGCGGAAACATGAAACAGAACTACGATCGTCGCAAATCAGCAACCTGCCATTTAGTTGCTGCATTCGCCAATACGGAGTCAAAGTTCGCGAAGAGGATCCGGCCAAGGCGGACGCAGGCAAAGGCAAGCGGTGGCAGCGAATGTTTGGACTGTTCGGAACAAAGATTGTCACACATCAGCAACAGGCCGTTTAGTTGCTGCATTCGGTAATACGGAGTCAAAATTCGCGAAGAGGGGACTAAAATTGCAGGTGATTGGGTTGAAACTTTGTGAGACCGATAAGCTATACGTTAAGAAGGCGTTTGTTTTCTTCTTTTCTTAAAGCTTTACTTTGTAGTAGATTGCAATGTATTAGAACCAGTGAGATAGGCCATTTTCATATTAGAAAGAACAAAGCTTGAAACGTACTATTATCAACTTGTTGGATATCCCTTTACACGTTAATTTGCCAGCACTTCCCCATTGTTGCGGGAATCGTGGTCGCGCGACCTACAACTAAATCAAATCTCTTAACCTCTCTCAATTGCCCTTTTTTGCTCAAGAAAGCACCAAAGTCGTCAAAAAGAAATGAGAAAAATCAAGTGCAAGAAAGAAACGCGAGACAGGAATTCATTGATGCCGCATTTTGATATAAGAACAAACCACAAGGCATGACACAAAGACAAAGATATAATATAACGGATACCCTGGCATTTAAACAACAAGATCCCTCTTGCCCCCTAAGCAAAATAAAGCAAAAACTGAAAAGCCCTCTGATCATTATCCACAGTGAGGGGTGCTTTCGTAAATCCTCCCTTTTCCCAACTGTTTCCTGCCCTTTTTGTTTTTCACACTGGATTTTCTACCCCTTTCTCGTTCATTTAATCTCCAAGAATGTCGTCATCTGCATCGTGATTTGGCACTTCAGCGTCTTCGTGCTCTTCATTGTCCTCATCGTCCTCAATAGGATCGTCCATCAACTCTCTGCGACGAAGATCTTCTTTCGAGCCCTCTTCTGGTTCGTTGTCCTCGAATATGTTATCGTCATCGTCCTCATCGTGAATAACTTCAGCGCTGAGGGCTGGTTTTTGTGGCTTTTCTGCTGGTGCCACCGCCGCTTTGGTGGCAGCCTTTTTATTGCGCTTCGCCATCTTCTCTTCGTCAAGGTAAGCGACAACCTCTTTGAAGTTGTGCCCCAGCTTAGTCTCATTGCGCTGTAGCCGCCGCTTCAGTTTATTGACAGCATTGCCCTTGGGATCGATCAAGCTTGCCGTTATAACAAGAACGTATTTGGCAGTCAGTTCGCACAAAGACTTTTCAGCCTTGAGCTCAGCGGCAAGCCGTTCCTCCTTCGAAAGGCCTTCGTCATCATCTTCATCGTCAGACGACTCCTCATCATCAACTGGGTCTTCGTCTTCCGCCGGTTCGTTTAACAGTCTCTCTTTCTTGGCCTTCTTCGCAAATATTTTCTCAGCGCCATCGAATATTGATGTGAGCTCAGAGACGAGATTGGATTCGATATTCTGCACCAAGACTTTGAACTTTTCGCCGCCGCCGGCTTGAGAAGAAGAAGTTGATGGGCGGAAGTTGCTAATCACCGGACGCATGGTTGCAAATGTCAAGTGCAAATCGCAGAGACTACCAGTGGCATATAGACGGAGCTGATCGATAGAAGATCGAGATGAAAAGGTCACGATCAAGTGTTTTCGGTAAGTCTGTCGCAACACTGATAGGCTATCAAGCTCTTCATCTGCAATGCTGACGCCAGAAGATAGTTGTTGTGCCAGATTGCGCGTCTTCCACATGAAATAGAATTGGCAAGCCTTAATTGCCAAAGTAACAACGTCATCTTCCAAATTATCAATCTCGTCTGTTAGGGCCACAAACTCTCCACGGTGCACAATGTTAATCAAGATCTGAATGGCCGGAGCCGTTGAGTCACCCTTGGATGGGGCAATTTCAAGGACGTCGACACAGTCTGATATGCTTGCCAGTTTGCTGATCTTCATCAACACAGTAGACAACTCCCGAAGCGGTGCTTCATCCAAATTTCCTCTTGCGGAAAGTTCACAAGTCTTGTCAAAGCTTCGGAGGGAATTAATGACGACCTCCCAAAGAACGGACAGCTTGCTGTCGGCCATTTCCTCCAACTCTTCAAATTGGCGAGCGTGCAGCAGAGCGGCCGCGGCCTCAGTCAAGACAATCTTATCGTCGTGTCTGTTGAACTGCGTAATAATCTCGTCCAGTAGCTTCTCGTATATGCTCGAATCTTGTCGCAATCGCTGGAAAGCATCGAGCTTAAGGTAGCGCTCTAGCCGAAGGACAATCGCCGCCGTCTCAGGCTCTGCACCATACTTGCTCAGTAACTTTGGGATATTCGTGGCCAATTCCAGCGCCAGCTCCTCCTGGGCTTCAGCTGCATCAGAGCGAGGGCCACGCTTCTTGCCTTTGTCATGGTCGGCAAGCAGCAACAAGCTCGACTTGATAGCGGAGCTCAGAACGTCAAGGAGAATCTTTTCTTCTTCGGCAGTAGGTGCAACAGCCTTCTTGAAAGCCTCTTCTGACGGATTGCTCTTTGACTTTGATCTCGACTTAGATTTGGTGCTTGTGGTATGGTCGTACAAGAGATATCCGGCCAGGATCTCCCAAGTCTTAATTTCTGGAATTTTGTCATAAAGCACCTGAGAAGCCAGAGAGATTCTTGTTTCCGGCGTAGTATTGCCCAACAAGTCAACGTCGAGGTCCAACGGTGATCCTTCCGCTTGCTGAGACTCCTCAACCTGAGCGTCATAAATGGTGAGGGTTTCGGCCAGAGATTTCAGATTGAGCCAGTCCTTTCTCGGAGCGTCATAATTGTCTTCTCCAGCAAGGTCCAGCTCTTCCAAGACTTCGGAGCCGCCCATCTCTTCAACTTTGCCCTCAATCACATCATCAATGCAGGCAACGAAAAATCCAACAACGGCTTTCCGAACCCTGATTTCACTATCAAAGACGAGTCTCCCAATGGCATCGATCTCGTTAGGCTCAAGAATGGCAGCGGCTCGCAGCGAGTCGATAACAGTAATGGCAGTGACTCTAACAGAGACGTCGGCGTCGCCCGTTGCCATTTCGATCAACCGAGGGCGGAATCGGTCAATAAAGTGACCTAGCTGTTGTGCGTCGCGTTTGAAAAGCCTTCCCAGCTGCTTCAAAACCTCTTGTCGCGTACCAGCATTAGTATCAGACAGCATCCAGCCCAGATAGCGCAGGTAGCCAGGCTCTAAGAAGACTGTTGGCAGATCCCAAATCCAATTTCCGAGTGCCTCAACACACTCAACTCGAATCCTCGGATCGATATCGCGGTATCGATGAACGAAAACAGTGTCGAAGAAGGACTGAATAGAGTCGTTGCAGATCTTCCTATTGTTGTTTGCTTCGGCTAAGCTACGCTGGATTTCGTCGGTCTTGCTTTTGTTTTTGCTCTTTTTCGCAGCCTGTGACTGCTGCTCAATGTTTGCAATGCGTCGATCGAGGATGCTGGCGACTTCAACGAGAGTGGATTGCACTGCCAAAGAAATGGTAGTCGCTGTGTGACGGAAAGGGCGCAGCGGCGAAGACGACATGCTAGCCAGCCAAGCATGGAGGTTATCGACAAGATCGACATCCTTGTACATGACGTCGGTTTCGTGCAGTAAAGAAATAAGAGCATGGACGAATGAGATGAGCAAGTCTCGAAACGACCGTGTGGTCTTGGACCGGGCAATCAGCGGGTAATCGACGATTTGTTGCTATCAACACAGTTAACTTTGTTTCCACCAACAAGATTATTTATCGGTTGCTATTCCGAGACGCACCTCTTGGTAAACACTCTGCAAATCTAGTAGTCGGTTGGGAATATTCTCCGGATCACGGATGTCGTCAATCGTTACTTCTAGGTCGCAGCCAGCGCATCGCAAGATGCAGTTAATGAGATCGCCCAAGGCATCCGCATCGCCAAGTTTGTACTTTTCCAGCCATTGTTGAGCAACAAACTGGGCAGAGTCACCGGACGCAAAGATATCCGCTGTAGAACACAAAATAAATATATCAGTATTGAGACTATGGAGGGGGGTGGAGGGGCAGGCTGTGGAGATTGTGCGTGCACGCAAACATACCATATAGTCCAGTTCCTTTCTCTCCTGGATCGATGCGGACAGTCTTCTTGGGCCTGCTGGGAATGCGCGCAATAGTTCCCGACACGGCAGGTCGCGCGCCGTTGATTTTGGGCTTCTTGATGCTTGGTTTCTTTGCGCGAGTGGTTTGCGACGGCTTTCGCGGCTTCGGCGCAGCATGGTCCTCGTCACTGGCAGCGTCACTGGCGGCATCGCTCATCTCCTCGTCCGACTCAACCTCTCCATTCTCTGCCCCTTCGTCTCCCTCGTCATCATTCCGTTTACGCTTCGACGCTGACGCTGTCGGCTCCGGCGCGTATTTCGTGGGTGCTTTAACGACGCGTCCAGATCGTCGACGCGCCGCAGTGTCTGGCTCTGGCGACGCGGTGGCGCTGGCGCTGGCGTCCATTTCGTCGAGTCTTTGGCGATGGAAGTGTCTCTATTTCTTCATGAGGATGCTCAGATGCCAGGCCGGGCAGCAGCAGGTCCGGGCAATTTGCGGCGATGGGCGAATTTGTGGCGCCCTGGTCGCGTTCGTTTGTGTCGTGCAGCGATGCTTGACCTGCTGCCTCTGATTTTCGAGGTGGGCAGAGCAACCCACTTTAGCACCGGCTGAATCTCGGCAGTACCTTTCTTGCTGCTTGAAAATGCGGAGAGCCGCTGCATCTGGATTGTCTAGTCCTATCTGGGGAGTAAAGATGGCGCGCTACTGAACTTGGAGCATCTCCAGCCTAGAAATAAATTGTCTAGCATCAGGCCCTTAATTTCTAAGAGCAATTAGTGCCATAATAAAAGGTCGGGTATAAGTCGTTATCAGAAGCTTCTTATCTCATACTTATACGCAATAGCCATTACCACGTCTGCTCTGATAAGAGCCTGTGTCTCCCATTTAAAAAGCTCTGCAAGTCAAAAATGCAAACCACATGGGGAGATTCAGTGCGCTAATAATACCCAGCCCTCTTTCTGTTCAGCTCTTATTTGGTAATATCAGTCAAACCAATATCGACGCCGCACAAGAGATGATAGAATATTACACGTAATATTCAACAAGAGCTACATAAGAAGAGTGAGCAATTCACACAGCCTACAGCGATGGTTGGGCTATCATGATCTCTCCATTCCCCCGCTCAACTTCTCTTCCTGGCGATGGCCGCATCGTCGTAAGGCTTCTTCCAGCTGGTGGTAGTGGGCTTGAGACCATCAGTTACCAATACCCCCTCAAACTGATCTCGCCCTCTCCTACCGTGGACCAGAAAAGCGCATTGGTCTTTCTCTTGTCATACGGAGGTGGTCTAGTGGGTGGTGATGGCGTCAACCTCTCTATTCATGCGCGTCCTGGGTCGAGCCTCAGCCTAGTCACGCAAGGCCACACCAAGATATTCAAGTCTCCTTCGCCTGACGTCTTAACGAGCCAAAGGCTGCGAGTACAGGTGGATGAAGACGCCGCGGTCTGCCTCTTGCCGGACCCTGTTCAGCCATTTCAAGACAGCGTATACGAGCAAACTCAGGTTTTCAATTTAGGCTACCAAGCATCACTCTGTCTTCTGGACTGGGTGACACAGGGAAGAGTAGCCCGTGGAGAGGACTGGAGTTTCACCACGTGGACAGGGCGCAACGAAGTATGGACCCAGGGCTCTGAACTAGGGCAGAAGGGGAGACTGCTCATCAGAGACAACATCATATTGAATCAGGATGGAAGCAAGCTGGTTGGGTTACCGCTGAAGGATACGATGCACCAGATGAGCGTCTTCGGTACACTTATACTTCGAGGGCCTGTCGTGGAGCCTCTTGGAGATTTCTTCATGACAGAGTTCGCTGCATCGCCGCGAATCGGGTCTCGAGACTTTCGATCAAAAGAGGATCAAGAGAAAGACTTGGAAGAAAAGCCGGAGCTTGAGCGATGGCGCTCACAAAGAATAGCCTTGGAAAATCAGCAGGGCGTCTTGTGGTCAGCGGCTCAAGTCCGTGGATGTGTCATTGTCAAATTTGGAGCTGCTTCGGTGGAGGCTGGACGGTCATGGATCGGGTCCATGCTGATTAGGGAGGGCAGTATAGCGACATACTTTGGCGAGACTGCTCTCATGTGCGTCCAACCTTGAGACATTCTGACACTTGGAGATACTTTTTACATATATATCACATTGTATATACCTCTCGATATATTTTCACGTATTTTTCGAGGGCCAACTCGCCGAACAAAACAATAATAGCTTATATGTGAGTATATAAAGCTTCATAGCAAGCATAGATACTTTTCTTTCTTCACGTCATTTCGCCTCACCAATCTCACTTATACCAGCTTCGGCTTCAACCGCGGTGGAGCACAGCAGCCAGAGTCCACTAAGCCCAATCCAGGCCCCTTCTGTAATCATTCCTTGTCGTCCCCCACCTTGGCGGTTGCAAGCACTAAAAAGAGCCCCGCCAAAACTTTGAATTTTCTATAGACAAAAGCTCGTGCTATCAAAGAGTCGACCTTCATTGCGCCGATTTGGTTTTCAATGACCCCAGTCGACGTCTCGGTCTCACATCACACGCAGCATGGTTCGCGGAAGAGCTACCGCCACCGGTAGGGGCGTGCGGCGAGGAGGTGCCGCCGCCTCTTCAAGATCCCAAACAACCGAAGGCGATGATTCAAATCCCAGCCAGACGAACAGCGCAGCGCCGACGGCCAGCATGGCATTGACCGACTCTGGCGCCGAACAAAGCACATCAACACAGCCAGCGGCCTCGGCGGTTCGCAGAGGAGCCATGTCCGCACGAGCGGCTCGCGGAGCTGCACCGGCCGGCAGATTTCGACCGAAGAACGTTCGACGCGATGAATCGGAGCGAGACGCATTGGCTCAGCAAGAGCAGCACAAGGCCAGCGAGAGAGCTGCAGAAGAGAGGCGGGCGAGAGGCCGTTCGCGGTTTCGCAGCAAACGAAGTCGTGGCGATGCAATGGGAAGCAGAGGTGGTGGCTTTGGCCGGCCAGTAGCCGCGGCCAGCGGACCCTTTTCTGCAGGAGTGGGAGGTCCAGGTGCGTCGCAGAGCTGGCTGTATAGTGGCCAAATATATCCCAAGGATGCTACTAACATTACCATGAAACAGGTGGTCCATCTGGCGGAGGCTGGTTTGGGGGTGGTGGTGGAGGTGGAGGTGGAGGAGGCGGCGGCGGCGGCTTCTCAGGAGCCGGCAAGTTTGAAGGAAAAGGCGGCCCAGGATTTGGATTCGAAGGCGGCTTCCGAGAAACCAGGATCAACGCCGACAAGCTTCACACGATGGTACACGAAGAGGGCATGGACAGCGAGGACGAGGCGATGCTGGCTGCGCTCCACACCCGGCCTGGAGGCGTCATGCCAATGGGTATACTCCGACGAGAACACAAAGAGGCACCAGTTGTTGTCGCTACAACTGCGGAGTTGGAAGCGGCAGAGAAGTCAAAAGGCGAGGAAGAGAGCCTCTGGATTGATGATGAGGCACCTGGGTCATTGCCCCCGGCTGACCAACCTGAAGAGGGAGATTGGAATACGGGGGACAACAACAAGGCAGTTCATGTCAAGAAGGAGCCAACAGATGATTCCATGGACTTAGACATTGAGACGAAGCCGGTCAAGGACGAAAGCAAGCTGCCTGTGGCGAAATTGAAGGCCAAGAAGCCAACTGCTCAAGACCCAGAGGAGAATATGATTCGCACAGACTTGAGTCTCTTGGCCAGCGAACTTGGCGCCATCACAATCAACGGCGACAGCGAAGAGAAGGTCGAGGAGGCCGGTAACAAAGACGGCCGATTATATCTATTCCAATTCCCCCCACTACTCCCTCCCCTCAAGCAGGTTGCCGCCCCCCAGCCTCGCGTCAAAGTCAAAGCAGAAGAGCAGCAGCCTATCAGTTTACACGACACTCCCACCAGCGCATCATCTACAGCTACTCCTGTTGATCTTACCGAGCAGGGCGAGGAGGAAGAGGAAGAATTGGACTCGGACGACGAAGAACAAGAGCGCAGAAGCGGGTTCCGGTCACAAGCGCTTTCAAATGGTGGTCTCATCGGACGGCTCAATGTCCGCAAGTCTGGCAAGGTCGAACTAGACTGGGGCGGCCGCATTCTGGAAATGAGCCCTGCTGCGGGCATGAACTTCCTCACGACGGCCGTCATCGTCGAGGAGTCGGACGAGAAGCCACAGAACGGCGTGACGACGGGCGAGAGCATTGGCATGGGCAAGATCATGGGCCGGTTTGTCCTGGCGCCGATATGGAACGAGGAGGAGGAATGGGACGTCGCGCCGGAGGAGCTTGAGATTAACGAGTCAATGAATGAATAATCTAGGGACGGAGTAACAAAAAGAAGGGGACTGAAATCCACCAATAGAAAGGTGATGAGGATGTACATTTAGTATTGTTAACACTACGCATTTTTCTACATAGCACATGCTGCCAAGGGGCGGGCACTGGATATATACAGGCTGTTATTTGTTTTCCAAGGTGAATACCTAACTCTACTGCTTCTTCTATTATACTAGGACATCATGGCGTTTTTATTGTTAGCAAGCTCTCAAGGACCAGCAACAACAAAAAGACTCCATGACAGCCATAGAGCCGCAGCATTTGCAATAAGGAAATAACCATGCCATTTAAGTAAAGAGTGCACCTCAAATATTACTAGTCTTTTTTTCCCCCAACACTTTACCTTCTTTCAGAACATCCATCCACCTTTTCAACGTCGCCATCCCTCCCCATCCTCATGCACAAGTGCAATCTAAGTAGAATCGTCATCAGCGCTAGTCAGACGCAGGAACGCCAATAGTTCGACTCTAAGAAAAACAAGGATGAGAAGCAGGAAAAGAGCCAAATGGAAGACATTCCGCGCGCCCGCCCCCCCTGCTGGTGTGTCCGAACGCAACTTATGCCTGGAAAGTGTGTTAACACTACACACTTTTTTTTGGATTGAGGCGTTTCCCCCTCCTTTGTCCCCGGGTAATATATAATAGATTATGGAAATACACAAACAAGTTTAGCAATCGTGTTTTTGGTAGTGCAATGGCTATTGAATGTTTGGCATAATGTGCTTTTTTTCTTAATAATGAGTAAGATAAAAGATTTCATCTCATATGGCCCTGCTTGCAATTCACCTACTTGACTATAAACCTCGTGTGTGGGATTTCCGGCTCTCGGGCAACCAACATCCGCTCACTCACACATTAACAGAGTTTCATCACCACCCCTCCAAGTTGTCGACCCCATGTTTCCCAACGTGCATGCAGGTACATACAGCACACTCGATGTAACAATCCTTCGGAAAGAAATCACATACGGCAGCAAAAAGTTGGTGACATAAAAAAATCATGCAACATTCAATTCTCATTTTTCTCCCACTCCTTTTTCCAGACCCTTGCGGTGTCCCCCCGTTCTACTATACATTAGCAAAATAGCATTCATCGCAAAACTCGTAGCCCGTATCCCAAATCATAATACATCCATCATACGTGACCCTTTTAAATCTGTCTTGTGAGATTTTATCCGCTCGCTCAACATGTGAAGCTGTTACTCCGGTTCCTACCCGTCCAATGCAGCTAAAGTGACGCAAACCAGATCCGTAAACTGAAACATGAACCCAACATAACCCATTGAAGAAAAAGAAAAAGAGGAGGTATCAGAATGCAACAATGATGTAACAAAAAGGAAATCTAACGTCCCCTCTGGTGAGAGCCCTCGATCCCTCAGTATCCACCTTCTTGGCTCTGAGCTTCGAGTCCGTTGAGGTCGTCGAACAGAGACGAGTTGGTCTTGTGTGATGCCTCTGTTATGACGCTGCGCGATGGAGTGCGGCCTTTGCCTTGGCCAGCATGGCTCCTCGCTTGCTCCACGTCCAGTCGAGAGACCGTTAACGTGCTAGCTTGGGCCTGCTCAATAGTCAAGCCGATGGTGCTCATCGAAGTCTCAGGAGGTACCGTCTCGTAGTTGGGCTGGACACTTTTTAGAGAAACGTCGTCGGGCCCAAAGATTTGGTCGATGACAGGCGTGGATCGATTTTCCGTGGTCTGCCTCGCATAGGCAGAGGGGGCGCTGTGCGCTGTGCGGCTGCGGCCCGTAGACAAGAAGCCGTGCACTCTCCACGCGCGCAGTAGAGGGCGGATTGTAGCAAGGCTGGCAGCGATGATGGCTACTCCAGGCTCAATGACGGTCCATGTCATTACTTGTGTTGCCGCAACTACATATCACTTATGTTAGCCGGATAGGAGAGAGATAAAGGCGGACAAGACACCTACACAGCAAATCATCGAGATCCTTCATCACAGTTAAATACCTGATCCTAATAAGAGTGGCAACACTCGCGCTATTTCGAAAAGATGATTAGCCATTCATTTACGAAGCTGCCATATTCATTGAAGGAGGAGGCGGTACATACAATATTCCAAGACCGAGGATGATGATGACAGTTGCTTTGGCTTGAGGAGTCATCTTGACTGACCACAGCATCGGTATGGGCAACAGAGCCTAGGTGGGACTGTTAGAGCTCAATCCATCGCACGGTTATCAATACATGGCTCCCTTACATATAACCAGTCCGATAAAATTGTCATCACACTGATGGCGTATGCGGCAGAAACAAGGTCACTTGTCGATACGCATTTTCCGCTCTCGATGCGGAAATCCCACTGTTTTTGTATGGGACTGCACTGAAATACGTCGTAGAAGAAAGTGACAAGGCTCCAGACGATAACAACGCCCAAGCTAACGCAGATGATCCAGTTGTAGATTTTTCGAGCAGAGACTCGTAGAAGAAATATGCCAATGCTCATTTTGATGAACATCATGTTGAGTATGTAAGAGGCCGTCGCCAATGCTTGCCACTATAAGCAGAGTCAGGAAGAGGCTCACGAGAATAGAAAACGTTTGGAGTAGTCATCTATAAGAAAAATGAGAGGAAGAATGAAAAACTTACCATGAGAGCTGTGGCTTGCTCGTCGCCATCAGTAACGGCAGCATTATGCCTACCCATTCCAGAATGGATACCATTGAAGATGAAGATGCACGAGAGTGTGAAAATAAGCTGTACAGGAGTCTTTAGTCTCTGTCCACTGAGAATCGCAAAACGCCAGTTAAACCAACCTGAGCCACAAGCATGAGCCAGTCATCCTCTTGGAGACTCTTAATCACCACCGCTCTCGTATATATCCTCAGCCCTACGGCCAGCCAAGTCAGACTGAGGAAGACCACACATGTGGCCACTAGAGGTGCGCCATTGTATGCGTTCAGATGGACATATTCATCGGCCATATCGTTCCGACGTCCCGACCTTTTCGATGAGACAGCGAACGACGAGCATAGCACTACCACGGCGGCAATAGAGGTAGAGATGCGAAGGGGGCCAAAACGAAAGACGAGAAAAGAAAGGCGACAAGCCGACGCGGGATGCGAACGGCAAATGAAGAAGAATATAAGCCGAATAGGAAATAGAAAGATATGGAGAAGTGACGGTGACGGCGAAGCGGGTGCTATATCTACAACCGGCAGTCACAAACCGTGTAAGTTTGCTGATTTGTCGGAGAGACAATACGAGTCACAGGCAGATCGGCGCTGGGATACAAAGCTTCATGGTCCGTCCACAGGAGGGCAGCTGTCCGGCGCCCGGTCTTCCCAGGCGGATATTTTGATCTCATCCCACATTGTCCACTCTCATGGCGTGCAGGCATGGATGTCATGCACCGACCGGGTCGGCGAACTGGGAGCAAACGTGTAACGGGAATAGCTTCCCCATGCTAGCAGCATCAATCAAGTGGGCCGCGACATGAGGCACGACGGCCCGCAGTGGTCCGTGAAGGATGCTAGGAATAGTAGCTAGCATTCGAGATACGCCGTTGGTGGTGGCAGCAGTAGTATAGGCAAATTTGAATATGAATGCGTGATGCACGCAAGGGGGCTTAGAACGCTGTAGTCCATTCAGGTCGACCTGCGCGAAGCGAGACCCGCAGCGAAGACGCCCCTGCAAGTGCTGCATCTGAGACACTCGTAAATCGATCTTGAGGGCCAAATCGTGAATCATGATAAAATCAAGTCCCTACGCCGCAAACTAGCGGGGCGGGAGACATATCAACGGCCGCAGAGAGAGACATTGTCCGACACAGGCTTACAACGAGTAAGTCGGTGTCTCAACAGCACGCACCGTCCTTTCATTGTTTGGCGAGAAGGAACGAAAAATGGCGTGTAGGAAAACAGGGCCACGGGAGTGAACCGCAAAGGATCTGACCAACATTAGCGGCGTCCCAACAGCATCACAGCCCTGAGGCGCGACGCTCAATGGTCCAACAAACCCTTGCCGATTCACAGCAGCTCGCTCATCACACCGCAGAAACAGAATGTAAACAGCAGCATCCAAACCAGTGCTCGGTGCTCGCTCGCTACCAACTAGAACAGCCCTGCGGCAAACCCCAACACGGTTCGCCAACCCCAGCCTTCTTCTGCTGCTGCTGCTGCTGCTGCGACCTTGATACTATCTCCAGTGTAAAGAAACATCCCCACTCACAAATCACGTTCGAGTGTGACGGCGATGATGATTCAACTCTCTTTGTGACTGATTTCCCGTGACCATCTTCTCTTTTCACCTTTGGGCCCCGTAGCACCCAGCAGATCATTCAAAGGTCCCTCCCAGGACGCTCCATACGTGCCTCCAAGATGCTCTCAATGGGCACTTCCCATGGACGGGCGGCCGTGGTTGGTCGGAAACTGGCGCCGGGTGCATGAGATGGTGGTAGCCGAAACGAGCGAATCGAAGTCCAGGATTGGGCGATTTGCGCGGGTGATTGCAAAGGCCCGCTCAAGCCCACCCCAGCCAAGATTGTATGCAGCAGCAGCAGCAGCAGCAGCAGCAGCAAGAAACTCCAAGGTGGGTATTTTTAGGACCGACAAGAAACCCACGGACAAGGCACGAGCGTAGCTGTTTGCTTCAGTGTCGTCATTGCTCTGGCTCTGCTTCTTATTTTGGGATGTCTCATACGCTGTTTCTCCTCGTGGCCGGTGCACTCAGGTGAAGAACCAACAGCAGCATGCAGACGAAAATAACCACAGAGCAATCAGGCAAAAGTCCACAAAGCCATCGGAGAATTCCCGCATGGACCGCTACTAACAGAACGTGCGTTTTTCCCCGGCTCTGGACCGGAAGTGACATGGTGTAGGTTGGAAGAGGTCAATAGTGCGGAGTATTACGCGGAGGAGGAGAGAGGAAGGCCTGAGACGTGAAACTGCGGAATCACGTTTTCACGGCCCGGCGGGTGCGTGCTTCAGGACGAGTGTCACGATGCCACAGCTATTACTTAACTTCTCAAATAGTTGGACAGTTTAAGTTTGCCCGGCGGCTAAGGGAAGAGCTGTGCTGTGTGCGTATAACCTCTACTACGATGATGACTTACCTTACTAACTTATCACTCGCAGCAAGCGACCATCCTCAACCTCAAACGAAATTGTACATCTTCCAGCATACGATGAGGATCGATCGTTCTAGCAGCTTGATGCGTTGAATATGACCACATTACTGCACCATAGGAGCCCGAAACAATCAGCATCCATCACACATCACTTAATTCACTCCAAAGCAAAACATTTAGATGCATGTGTTTCCAATCATTTATCCGCATTGTCAGCGCTAACCCAAGGGAATGAATATGCTATATATACATCATCCCATGATACCCGTCTTCTATCTTAAACAACTCTTCCTTAAAAAAACAAGAAGAGAACAGAACAAAACAAGAAAAGGTCTCAGCAGCTGCAAGTCCTCTCTTCCTTTCCCCCTTTTTTTCCAACTTGTGCTGAAACGGGTCCACCCATAAATTCACAATCATAAATACGAGACGCCTTGTATATACCTGAACTGGATACACAAAAAAGGAAAAGAAAAAGAAACGAAAACAATATTAATGCCCCAATGCTCCTATATATGACAAGGAAAGAAAGCTTTAAAAAATGAAAAAGAATATGTGATGAAAGGAAAAGTTTTAATAATGCAGCAGATATCGATATCTGGCAGTATGTCATGGCGTAGTAGGTAAAAATCAAAGGACGATGATAGGGCGTGTGAGCTTCTTTCGTCGCAGAATTCCAAGCCGAGAGGGCGATATTATCCTCAAGGGTCGTAGTGCCAGCGGAGACTGTTTTCCTCAACCCACCATCGGGCGACGAACGCTGCCTTTTCAGCCCAGTGTGCTGCCTCGGCGGATCTCTCATCCTCGATCTTCTGCAAAAAGGCGCCAAAGTCAAACGCAACAAGATGCTTCTCCTCATGAGGCTCCGTGTCCAAGTCGGTAAATCGCCATTCAGTGTTCTCAATGATGGGTACCGTCAGTCTCCAATGTGGCTGGACGGTGTCACGGACAGCAACGGTGGCGCGACCCGGATTCATGACGGAAAACTGCCAGTTGGGCTGGCCAGTCTTCTCATTCAAGTTGATGAGCGGTCGGATAAGCGATTGTCCCTCGTAATTTTCAATCAAATCTTTGGCAATGCCAGTCGAGGACTCGGAGAGTGAGCCGGTTTCCAGCAGCAAATCGAGGATTGTGGGCAGAATTTCGTATGAGATAACGGCATCGTTGATGTCGATGGCGGGGAGCTGAGGATGAGAGAAGACAAGCGGAACATGGAAGTTACCGATGTTGGTATTGTAGTATGGTGTGATGCCATCGTTCTCCGGGACAGAGAGACCGTGGTCACCGACAAAGATGACCAAGGTCTCGTCCGCAACACCTTGCTCGTCCAGGATGTCCAAAACTTTTTGCAGCCAACGATCGACGAATCCAATAGCATTCAGGTACTTGGATACGTTCTCTAGCTTGCCAGATTCCTCGCTGGTGATGGGAACATGCGTAAAGTTCTCGGGCAATCCGAAGGGATGGTGCGTGGTGCTGGTCAGATGGGTCAAAAACACTCGCTCGTTGTTTTCCTTGGCCGACTTGAACGCATCGCGGACATAATCTTCGATGACATCTTCGGGCATTCCGTAGTAGTTGATATCCTCCACATCCGTCTTACCAAACTTGGCCTCATCACTCTTTAGGTATTCTTTTGAAACCGTGTTGTTCTTTGGAAACCCAAGCTGGACCATGAGCTGGTCTTGTTTGTCAAAAGTGTTGGTAACCGACATCATGAATGATGACTTCCACTTCTGGGTAGTAAAGTCATTCTTATCAGCGCGCTTAGAAGAGTTTGCCAAGTTGAGGTTCATGGCATCGAGGATGTGAGGCAAGCAGGGCTGGTAGATGTGATGCGAAACTTCAGCGTTGAAATCGCCAACGAGAGGTGACAGTCCACAGAGAGTGCCGGTCAAACTCTTGAGCGTGTAAGTGGCGGACGTGTGGCAGTTGTTCGCGTTGAGACCTCCACGTCGCTTCTGTTCCTTGTGCTCGAAGCCATCGTTGTAATCTCCTGTCAGGAAATTGGCAGTAGGAGTGAGCGTGGAGATCTTCTCTTCGGCTGCTTTTGGCAGAGTACCGTTCTCAAATGACTCCACAGCAAGTTTATAAAATAAACCATCCTTCTTGACGGGGAAAGCATCCTTTCTCGTACTTTCGAGCTTAATAAGTACCACGTTCTTGATGTTGATATTTGCCAGCTTTTCGCGGAGCTCCGGGAGGACATCATTTTTAAGGTTTGAGATTTTCAGGGGGTCCTGGGAAGCACGATAGTGCTTTTCCCCATTCTCATACCAATCTTGGAAGCCCGGAAGAGGATCCTTTGGCAGCCATTCCCATCGAATCGGGTCGGCCAGTGCGGTTTGGTTATCCCAGTTCCACCCAATGCTAGTATCAAAGACGGGGGTGAGTGTGGCCAGAATAGGCGACGAGTGCGCAAAGTCTGCGAAAGGAATCAACGGCAGAGTCCATGACATGTAGGCGTAGGAGCCTTCGTCTGGCCGGGCAATGTACAGCACGACCTGAAGAAGCATGATGACGCCGACCAAGACATATAGGGCAATGGTCAACTTCGAGGTTGGTCGCATGTCGGAGGCAATGCTAGAGCCGCCAGAGGTGCTGGAATCGACCTCGTCGTCTTCTTTGCCCATGAGCTCGGATCCGATCTCGATATCTTGCTGTGGGATGTGAGTGTATCTTGAAGTGGGCGTCGCAGGGCGGAAGCGGGCAGGAAGCTTGCTGTAGAGGAAAGCAAACGGCCATTTGAGCAGATTCAAACCGAGCCCAGCCAGGAAGTAGAAGATGTCCTGCGTCAGCCAGCTAATAACGAAGATGACCGCCAACACAATAAGACATGTGAAGAGTCCAGTAACCGCCAGCTTCCACGACGCCGCATCGCTCGCAAGGCCAGCATTGCGCCAATGGGGCTCGGAGCCTGCGACGATGAAGAAGGAGTTGTTGATGGCCGCCAGGGCCAGCACAAAGGTGACGAGAAGCGAGGCCAGTGCCGTCAGGATGAGTCGCAGCCACTTCCAGGGGTACAAGTCGGTATCGAGCAACAGCCGTATTAGTATTAAGAAAGCAGTATCTTGAGTGTAAAATGTGAGGCCCCATTGCGCCATGGAGCGAAAGGCAATGGCTGTTATGTGGGCATATATGTGGACCAGCTTGGCGCTGATCACGGCCATGACGCCTATAGCAAACAGAAACCGTCTATTTGCAAATCGGGCAAAGAAGGCAGACAGCACCCGCAAAACAGGCGCAGTCAGCAGCGAGACGGTCGATGTAACGGTATAGAATTGTCGCCGCGTTGGGCTGGGAATCCGCATGCGAGACGCCATGCCGCTGGTGAAGCGGCGCGTCGATTCCATGGCGGAGGAGGAAGAAGAAAAAAGGGGGAGTTGTCGATGCCGTCCGTTCGATGAGAGTTGAGTCGGGGCCGAAATCGAAGTCGAAGTCGAGGTATATACAGAGGCGAAGGCGAGCAAGAGAGCGAGACACACACAGGGGCTATGGCCAAGTGACGCTTCTCATGTCCAACGCGCCGCTGTTGAAGCGGTAGAAAAGAGTGTCTTTGTCTCCTTTCTCGCTGTACAGGCGCCGGTCAAAGCAACGCAAACAAGTAAACAAAACAGGTGAGGAAGAAGGAAAAGACCGAATTCAAAGACGAAACCAAAGAAGAGAGTGGTCGCGTGCGCAAAAATACAAGGCAAAGGGCCGGATCAGGAGAACGAACGAACGAACGAGCGGGTGGCAGCGAGCAACAAAAGTTCTGATGGCCGCCACTCCACTAGAGACGCCTTTTTCCTCAGTTTTTTTCCTGGCCTCCGTGCCCCGTACAGTTAGCGGGTTTGCGGCGTCTGGAGAGCAAATCCCGGCGGATGGACTGGAGCGAGTGTCGCGTGCCTGCAAGACCGTTAGAGGGAATAGCCCCACATAAGCCGCCCTAGCCACCCCCAGTGCAGCGTGCACAGCGAGCCTCTGGTGCCTGGGCTTCTGTTTGCAGCAGCGCCCCCTTAAAGTGACCTCGCACTGTGTCGCGACTCTTGCGCCAGATCCTTCGGACAGGGCCTGAAAGTACCGGTACGGGGCTACAGCATGCTCGTTGCGCCGTATTCCTCTGCAGCTATCAACCTGATATGGACGGCTTCATCCATCGTGAGAGGCTAGCATGGCTTTTAGTGTATGTGCGTAATGCTCGTGCGTATTAGCGCTGCTAACATCTACAAATATTCAGGTATAGTGACGCACCACTGCCACAATGAGAAGTCGCCGAGGATCAAGATGATGAGCTGGGCTGGGAGGAGATCAGCGCATTGCGATTGGTAATATACCTACTTAATGGTGTGGCTCGCCTGTTCGTATTAGTAGGTACTGTAGAACCAGATGTCAGGCTGCTCCTATTAGCGCTGAGCTCGAGAAGCGCTCCGTGTACAGTATCCGCTTTCTCGTCCAAAGAAGAGGAGAAAATAGCATTGATGCATTGATGCAGATTTTAGGAAGATGCGCCGAAGAATGAAACCCCATCGAGGCTATGTTTATGACGCTGATCTGCTCAGCACAGCAGAGCCTCTCCACGTCCTCTGAAAGAAGCTTGACGCCCGTGCTTACCTCTAACAAGAGCTTTGCAAGAGCTTGATATTCGGGACTTGGCGTCCAAGGATGCCAAGAATAGATGCTCGCGGGGGATTTAAACTTCTGCAACATGCTTACACGTTGCTGCCATGCCATTGACATGTCACTAGCGGACAATTGACTTTTGCGTCCACCCTTTCCGTTCTGTCGTTGGTCGCATAGTGCGAGTATAGACTACCCAAATGGCAGAGGTAGAGTCTCGATGAGACATCTGCACAACGGCGATGGGTCCGGGCCGAGACTGAGACAATGTGCTTCGGACAAAGCCCGTGCTGCGTTTCATCCTTGCCGTCTCACATCTGCCGTTGTGCGTGTTTTCAGAATGCTGCCGAGGCAGAGGAAGTGAATGAATACGAGCCTCGCTGTGGTTGATGGATTTTCTTCGCACACATACAGGCATACACCGCTGCATTCAGTGGAAGAATCAATCCTTGAATATCGAGGAAAGCGAAGCGCTCACAAGCAGCAATGGGATGTAATACGTATTAGTTGCTACCTGGCAGCAATGGCGATCTCACCGACACAAAACATCAGCTCGACAAAGGATCGGCACCTCGCGATATAAAACGAGAGAGAGGCGACCCCGCTGATATGACAAGGAATGTACAAGTACTGCAATCGTCTTAGCGATGCAGCGCCTTATTGGCCCTCTATTTCTAGAGCCCAGGCTGTGCTACCGTACTGGCGTGTCGCGGGCACTGTGTCAGAAAGCTTGGCCACGAGCTAATTGAAGAGACTGACAAAACCAGACCCCGTCAATTTCATCACCGAGTCAAGCCACTTGTTGGCTGCCCTGGCGCTGGTGTCGGTGGCGGCGTCTGGCACACTGTTGCGCTGAAATCATCCAGCGATTGTGCTTATTTAGCGGGAGTAGACAGACACGCCCACGCGAGAGTGAGCGCGTGGCTGCGCAGGAAAAATCACAGCACTATCGAATCCCTACTCATTAGGTGCTCTGCCTACACTGCTGGCAGCAATGCAAGTCGCAGTTCGGACCCCTTATTCAGCCGCCCCTATTCCCATTCTACAGAGGTTTAATTTTACTTTGGCTGCACCTTTCGCTTCTCACCTTCCGAATCACCCGCATGACCCTCTGCGATTAGGCTTCCTTGCCAAGCATTCGACAATGAATAGTGGGGAGAGTCCCCACCAAAGGCCACTGAAGGACCCTCGGTGTCACCTACCAGAAGCGCTGTTGGCAGCGGCGCAGAGGCAGCTTCAGTTGGTTCTCATTACCTAAGGAGCACTAGCATCTCGCTAGCCTCGTTCTCGAAGCCGCTAGCGACTCGCTACCCCGTATTTCTGCTCAATAGATCGCCCGCCGGAAATGGCCTCTGATTCAATTGCCATGCCACAACAGCTGAGCTGAAAAGGGCCATTTGCGCATAACCTCATTTCTGCCATTGGATCTCTGCAAAGTTTTACCGCCCTCGGCACTTATCCCTGTCCACTCGTGGCCCCTGCTCATCTGCTATAGTCTCTAATCAGCATCAAGAGACGGTATCAGAGCTTCAGTCGAAGAAAAGAAAGAGGAAGAAAAGAAACAACTAGAAAGAAAGAAACAAAAGGCCGCATTTCTCGTATAGGTACATTCTAGACTCACAATGCACGTTCTTCGTATCGCACCCCCGCCTAATTGCTGTGCAGCGTCTATTATCGGAGGTGCCCAAAGGTAGGTAGCGTAAGTAGCCTGGCAAGTACGAAGTAGCATCGATACCAGGCTCTGAAACCAACCTTTGCCCAAAATTCCCCGCATCAAGCACCAAAGAGTCACGATGAGCTCTGCAGACATCCCTGGCCTCAACTACACCAGTCACCGGTACGGCGATCATACCCTCCAGCGAGTCGCCGTCTGGCAGTTTGATGATGATGACGACGCACAAAAGGCGCCAGCGCCAGCGTCAGCTTATTGGATAATGTACGACTCTGACTGCTCCCACAGAGCCTTACAGTACCTCTAACCTTGTGCGTGGCAGCTTCGTCCACGGGGGCGCGTGGCGAGACCCCAGAAACACCGTCGATGACTTTGTGCCACCCGTCCAGCACATGGCCTCACGGGCGGATCTGCCCAAAGCTGCCATCCGGGGCTTTGCCAGCCTCGACTACCGCCTGTCTCCGCACCCGCTGTTTCCCCAGGATCCCGCCTCGACGCCGGCCAAGGAGTTGCACAACGCCCGTCATCCGGACCATATCCGGGACGTCGTCGCCGCGCTGCGCTTTCTCGACGGCGAGTATGGCATTGGCAACAACTACGTGCTCATTGGCCACTCGGCCGGCGGTGCGCTGGTCCACCAGGTCGTCATGAACAGCGACGCTTCGTGTGGCTGGGCTCCCGCAGTGCCGCTGCCAGCAGCCCTCATCAGCATATCGGGCATCCACGATTTGAGAGGCATGGTCGCCAGACACGGCGGCATCTACGAAGAGTTCACGACTGGCGTCTTTGGCTCAGACAAGCGGGTTTGGGACGCAGTGTCTCCGGCAACATTTGCTGGCAATTTTAAGGACGTCTGGGGAGACGGGCCTCGTCTCGTCATCTTAGCAAACTCTACAGAGGATACCCTGATCGATATGCCAGAGCTCGACGTTATGGAAGCCAGGCTCATCACAGACGGCATCACACCGATAGCCATCAGGGACCTCAGCCTTGAACACGACGACATTTGGAGAGAGGGCACACAAGTTGCGGACCTTGTAGCCAAGGCCGTGGCAAAGCTGCAACAGCCTTGAGCATCGCATCGTATCACACGGCGCTCAATGGAAAAACCTGATGGATTAAAATCATCTTTATTACTACTGCTACTACTGCCACTACTACTGCCACAACCACTTACTACCTGAGAACATGATTCCTTAGTGAGCCATGTTCCGGTATCGGCGTCTATGCTTTTGGTCTCTCATCGTGATTCCTACTCCGTACCTAGTCCTCAAAGCCCCTTTTTTTTGGTTTTCTAATCAACCGTTCTTACCAACAATCTAGCCCTACCTGGCTGGCTAGACCTTGGCCCAGAGCTTCCATCCGGTCACAGAGATACGGCATGATACAAAAATGACTGTTGCCGCAGCCATCACGCTCCCTCCCCATATCTGTGCCCAAAAATAGTTTCCATGGTCGTGATCGATAATGGCACCCGCTGTTGGTGCCCCGGCCACCGTTGCCAGCGCACTGAGCGTTTCCACCATGCCAAACCGGACACCCATCTTCTGCGGGTCTTTGGTCAAGCTCGTCAGGGACGCAACAAACAGGCCCTGGTTTGCGCCGATTGATAGGCCGTAGACGACGCTAAAGACGTACATGCCCGTTCGGGTTGTGACTGCGGTCCAGGAGTACAGTATGGCAAACACAGCCGCGAGGGCGGCGATAAAGAGGTTGATCGGCCCAGTCCATCTGTCTGCGATGTAGCCTGCAATCGGCCGCATGGGGATGCCCATGGCATTCGTTATGATGAGCAGGTTGATGGAATCACTGTTTGAGAAGCCAATGATGTTACGGGCGTAACTGTTAATCTGCAAAGAAAGGGGTTAACGACAATTGTTTAAAGGTTCTTTTCGCTTTCCTCAACTTCACGACGGCTTTTTCTTCTTCACAGAGCGAGACAAAAAGGAACACACGCCTGATACTATTGCGCTTACGTACATAGAAGAAGACAAAGTAGAGAGCATAAAAGTATACAAACGCAGCCATGGAGAACAAGAGGTAGGGCAGCTCTGAAAAGGCCTTGAGTTCCAACAGGGGCCCCGTTTTGCGAGGCGGCAATCTAGGCTTCAGCAACACATTTGCAACAACAGCCATAGCGAGGGCAAGGAAGCCCGCACATCGCACTGCCCAGGGGAATCCGATCCGCGCCGTCAAATGCTGTATCATGGCGGGAAACGACACGCTGCCAACCGACGTGCCCACCGCCGAGACGGCGAGAGCAAAGGCCCTGTTTTTCTCAAAGTACGAGCTCAGGATGGAAATTGCCGGCATAAACGTCACACCGAGTCCAATGCCGATACACACGGCTTGGGCGAGAAAGATTTGCCAGTACGTCTTGGCGAGGCTCGTCATGAAAGTGCCGAAAACTGCCATGAACGTGCCTACCGCGACGGTGATGCGAGTATAGCCCGCGTCCGCGAGCCGCCCGGACACGGCGCAGATGGCGTAGGTGAAGAAGATTTGGACAGAACCGATCCATGAAACCTGCGAGGCGGGAAGCCCGAGAGTTTCGACATAGTAGAGCTGGTAGACACCGAAAGCTGCGGCGTAGCCCCATGTCATGGCATTGATGAGGTGCGTGGCGAGGACTTGAAGCCACGCTGTGAGACCCCCATCTGGTGGAGATCCATAATCTTTCTCTTCTTCTCCTGACTCAATGTCCTGGGCGGGATTTAGGATAGAGGGTGGTGAGGAGTTGTAGTTGTTGGGAGTTGTGGCGCCCAGGACACCAGTTTCTTGGATGGCAGCATCCTTTTCATCATCTCGTAACGTCATTGTGAATTAAACGAATGGGGGAGGAGAAGAGGGGGAAAGGGGGAAGGGGGGAGGGAATGTAAGTGAGAGTGAGAGATGGAGGTATCAGTCAACTATTCAAACAAAATATTATATTATACAACTTGTCAAATTAACAAAAAACAGATATGATGTTGCGGAAACCATTACAGGCCACGATGCTATTCAAAGTCAGCTCACACCAAGCCAAGTACAACTCTCCTCACCTTCCAACGCCGACATATATATACTGCCTTCTGCCAAGCATGTTAATCAAGATGCCAGCAGTAAGCTGCAAGGATCCCAGTCACCGTTCCGTAATTCGGGGATCTTGGCCCCGATATCGCCAGCCTGCTAGAATTATTATGGTGTCATTGTACCTGTTTTTTTTCCTAATGAAGTCAGTAGCTTTGAGTAGGCCGTAGTAGTAATAGCAAAAGCCTCTGGGGTCTGCCGTAATGATGTGCATTTTACGCCCTTGTGTGGAGCCCTTGCTTAGACAGGTCAAGAAGCCGAACCGGTAATGTGGGAACTGGGGGCTGGGTAGTATTCTGAAAAGGAAAACTCGGAGCATCATTCACCGAACCCGGATGCACGGTGTTGCTCAGCTGGACGCCAACAGGGCAAAAGTTCCCGGTATGGCTGCGCGAGGGTTGATATGACATGTAAGGGGGTTAGACAGAGAATTTTGAATCATCCCGGTGGTTGTCGTTTTTCATCTGGCAGGGTTACAGTGCTGCAATGGGGTGTTGATGGGATTGGTTGGTTCTGTGGTATCGGCTATTGAGATAAGAAGATTTCCGGCAAATGTGGTTGGAAAGACGATCCTTGTTGAGTTGTTCCGATGTAAGTGTGTGCTACATATACATAATGGCGTTTAAGCTTCAAAACACAAATACGCAACGAACAAATAAGGGAAAAACCAACTCTTCATCCAAATCTAAATAAATCATAAACACAAAGTAAGTCAACAAATAAATACCCCGGATTACTCCGCAACTAGGCAGGTTGCAGCATCTCCCAAACGCGCGCAACCCAGACCGCATACCATACAGGGTAAGTTTTCTTCTTTTCGCTGTACTTCCTTGCTCCCGTTTTTCTCGCTTCTTATTCCCAGCCCCTCCCCCCCGCTCCGATGTCCGGCCCGGGGCCCCACACCCGATCACAAAAATCGGCGACTGACCTGTTTTTGTTCTTTTAATTAGCATACCTGCGCTCTCGCCCCCCTTCCGATTAGCTCTTCTCACCGCTTCCGATGGTGAAAAAGAAGGAAGAATAAAGTTCCGCTTTCGGGCAGGAAGAATAACGAAAAGTGTAATATGTACGTAAACCGTGGCTGGAAGAGAGGGGGGAAACATCGGATGGAAAAACTTAGATAAGCCCGACAACGGGGCAATTTGCTCCGTCAATGGCGTCGCTTTCAATTCGTGCCGTGAATTGAGGACACTGCCGGCAGAAGCTTTTGAGCCCCAGTTCAGGATAGAAATGAAAGACGAACAAATAAAAAAACGCAGCCCGGGTTCAATCGAAAGCACATTTATATGAATGATTTCTTTCATAACTTATATCTATTTATAGACTCGAGCCTACTGTTCTATTGTTGTCTCATTTGAAATTATTCTCTTCTCCCTTTTCTCCCATTCTCCTTGTTTTGTTTTCCAACCCCTCCATTCCGCGGGGTAAAAACACACACAAAAACAAATCAATGACGTACGCTCAATCCCAAAACCCATTTGCCACGAATAAACCGCCATAAAGGATCGGAAAGTTTGAAAAAACGCCCCTATTAGGCATTCCGCTTCTCGTGCAAAATCACATGACCTCAAAGCTTCGGGACCAATCGGCTGTTGAACCCCTGATCCCAAAAAATCCTTGCGCGCCCCGGCTTGTGCCGGCCCGCTAGGGCGCCAGACCACATGGGGAATAGCGTACTGAGTCAAGTTCGACTACATCTGCCAACTTTCTATGAAAAGGAAGGCAAACTAATATGTTTGAGAAGCGGCATAGTATGCGCTTGCAGTGAGAGAAAGGCAAAGATTCGAGCGCCAGAACTTTGGGGCTGGGCGGAACGGGGTAGCTTACCAGGTGGGCGGCAGGGCGTGACAGCGCGCCCTCGGGAGCGTTCCATCTCTGCGACGCTGCGATGAAGCTAACATCGGGCGAAACGCTCCTAGCGGCTCGGGGATCGCCTCTTATACAGCGGGAAATTGGACAGATAAGCTGGTCGCAAGCTGTCGCGCTCTTCTCGATTCTCCTCAATGTCAAGGCGCATATGTAGTCGCATGCGTAATTCACTTCATCACTCTGTAAATTTTGAATCGCAAACGTACAAAAAGCAATATTTGACGTATATTTAACGCGCAATGGTGCCTCTTTTCTTTCTCTCCTATGAACACTCATGTTCCTTCCAAAGGCCCATCATCACCCTCTCCCCAGAAACAGGAATATTTTAAGCTGTGCCAGAATCTCAACGACGACGAATAAACAGCCAAAGATAGGAAAAAAACCCGCAAACTACCGACCGCGAATCGCTGAAAATTCGGCGCGCCAAAGATAGGAAATTTTGCAGATAAAGAAACGAGAAAAAAAGAAAATAATGAAAACAAAGAAGAAAAAGAGCAGAGCAGAGGAAACAAAAAACAAGGAAAAAAAAAGAGTCCACCTCCCCTTCCCTCGTCAACCCGTCCCTTTTGTCAAGAAACTAGACAGTTTGTAATAACACCAAAGACGAGTGCTCCAACCGGCTAATATTTTTTCGTGCCACCATAAAACCCGACCAAGCCTTCTTACTTTAGACAGTATGAGAAAATGAAGAAAATGAGAAACAAGAAAAAGAAATGTTGAGCGCGCTCTTCCTATCCGCCTCTCCCTCAGTTCTAACCCTTTTTTCTGCTAGCGAGACAATTTCCAAAGCTCGCCAGCCACGGTCGCCAATTTTTTTTATAACCCCATCTCATCCATCGCCAACCTTTTGTCCCCATCAGTGATGGTATGTATTACACACACGCAAACTGCAGAGTGTGGCTGCGGATGTGTGTTGCCCTTCTGTTGTTGATGTCGCTGTCTCCTTGTGCAGCTTGACGATGACCAAGATAACAAGAAAAAAGCATATGTAAAAAGAAAGAAATAAGGAACAAGATAGGGAAGAAAGAAACAAAAGGAAACAAAAACAATCAATCAAGTGACGCCTGATACACATCCCAAACGCCATCGAAGGAGTGTAATGGCCCTGCATTGGCCGTCGTAATTACGTCTTCATGATAGCATCAAGAGAGAAAATGAAGATTGCTCTGGAAAAAAATCAAAACAAGACTGCATACCCGCCTCTTACTCAGGTATGTGGATGACAGACAAGGAGATGTGACCGCGAGATAAAGTCTGTAGGGACCGGAAGAACCCCAGCAACAATGATACACAAACGTTGAAGATCAGAATAGGAAAAAAAGAAAATAAGAGAGCCTCCATTCTTTTGTGCGTCTAAACTGATACATCATACAGCATCCGGCGCGCGGGAAAACAAAGGAAATTGTTCTCTACCGCTTGCGCTTCTTCGCTTTGTCGGTGGTCATTGTGTTGGCAGCAATGGGGGCGGCGGGCAAAAGAGCAGGCTGGGATGCAAGAGCAATCTCGTCCTTCTTTAGTGGCACTCCCATGTGGCGCCCATAGCGGCCTTTCCGGCCGTTGCCTTCATCTTCGCTGATGCATTGGTCTGCTGAGAGACCAGCGTCGCGGCAGCGACCACAAGGTCGTTGGCGGTCACAGCCTTTCTTGCTTTTCCTGCAGCGCTGGCAGCGCGGCTTGGTAGAGAGATCGGGCTGATCGTCCTCGCCAGCCTGAGCCACATGTCCAATGGACACCACTGACTGCTTCCTGGAATGAGTGCTGGAAGCTGCCGGGGAGATTGGCCCATTGGGCACAGGGACAACGACCGGCTTCTTGGTCTTGTTGCCATTGGCGGCGCGGGGTGCCTTGGCCTTTGAAGAGGCCACCTTGGGTGTGGAAGTCGGAGACGACTTGCTCTTTGTCGACTTGCTCTGAGCCGGCTTGGCCCGGGCATCTAGGCCATCTTCATAATCGGCGTCTTCACCGCTGGCTTCGGCACTATCAATGGGCGGCATGAAGTGCGACTCGGTAGTCTGGTAGATCTGCTTGGATACGCCATTCAAATTCAACTTTTGACGGCGGGATAGCGGGAGCTCAACATCACTGTCGCTTTCGCCTTCGCTAGTGGCGCCAGTAGAGGATGTGGCGTCGGCTCGACCGCTAAATGTATCATCCAAAGTTGATGCGGATGTCCGACCGTGAGAAATGTTGGACATCTCGCCAAGTCGCATGAGCTGAATGGCGACATCCTTGTCTTCTTCTGACATGCAACTTCCGACAGTGGGATCGGGAGTTGGGAGGATGCCCATGCCATGAGCCATGCTGTGGCTACCGTAGGAGATGCTACCCCGACCACGGCGGTCACCGGCAACAGGGGTAGAGTACATGCTCATCTGCCCATGACCACTGCCGTAGCTTTGCGGAGAGTGAAGCGGGCGTGGGTTTATAAATGGGTTGTGGCCAGTTTGTATGTAAGAAATAGAATGTCTGTGATGATCGGTTCGACGGGCGGGCGATACGGATGGGTTCGAAGTAGCGGCGGGCATCTGAGGTGGTGCGAATAATGGCAGTTCCTGCAAGAAAGAGAGAAAAAAATTAGCAAAGAGCGGACAAGACGTTGAAAAAGATGATGCGCCGCGCTTACAGAGCTCTCAAATTTGGCCCTCTTTCGTCGACCGCCCTCGACAATATTCTCAACGCTGATGTCGGTTGTCCCAAGCTGCTCCTTGGTCCTGGCTGACGTAGTGCTTGGGGCGCCGCCATCACCGCTGCTGTAGCCGTTCATGCTGTCAGCGTAGGCATCGGCGTGGTTGTGATGAGCCCGGCTCTTGGTAGACCGAGAGCGGCCCTTGGTGCTAGTAGAGTCACTTCTTCGTCCTCGCGACCCATAAGGCGAGGGACTCCGTCTTTGCGGTGACTGGGCCATCTCAGGGCCGAAGCGCTGAGGGAGGGCGTATCCTTCACCCCCATAGTAGGAATCGGCGCCCATATGAAGACTGCGATAGTGATGTGATTCCAGGGCAGCCATGGACGCCTCTTCAATCACTCGAACATAGACAATCATGTTGTTGCGGAAATTTTCATATCGCGCAATCAAGGTGTTGCCGAGTTCGTCCTCAAAGCTGACGCCCTTTGACCCGGTCGGACCCGAATACAAGCCATAGAAGTTCTTGACGGTTGTAACAATCGAGTCCGTGGTATCATGAGGATAAATTTGCACTCGCATGGGCAAGCGCGCACGGTATTGAGGCGATTCAAGGAACAGCAGCTCAAATGCGACGTTCTTGGGGGTGGGCGCCTGACGGGGCGAGACACTACCGCCATTTGACGACGCTGCGGACATGCCGCCTGAAGTGTTTATAGGGGATAATGAATTCATTTTTTCTGTGTGTCTTGATGTTTTATTTGATGTCGGATCGGATGGGAGGAGGATAGCGATCGAACTCGGGAAGGGAGCTTTGTGGTGGGAGAGAGAGAGAGGGCTTTGAGGGTTGGGGACCTCGGGTGCGGATTTTGCGTGGGTGGACAAAGCCAGCAGCTTCAGACAAGAGTATCGCTTTGCGGGATGCCTGACAATTTCATCACTGGCCGGCAGCCAGGTCTCGTAATGGGCTCTTCCGCTTCCAGATGACGATGAATGATGAGGCAATCTCAAGAGTTCATCACCATCCAGGCTGTGCGGTAAGTGCCTGCTTCTTGGTTCAGCTCCTGGCTGGCGCGGCGGCGGGTTCGGCGGCGGCGACGAGGTTTGGCAAAGGCCGCGCTTTGGACGGTATCTGGAAGACGATTCAGGGAGATTAGCTGTGAACAGCCCTGATGGCTTTCGAATAAGGCTGCAAATGGGATGTGATGAGCGTCGCGAAGCCTCCAGACGGAGCGGGTTGGGAAAAAGCTTGTGTGAACAAAGGCGCAGGACGCAGGACGCAGACGAGCAGGCTGGGCGCGAGTCCAAGGGACGGGGCGGACGGGGAGGCCAAATCCAAGGCAAAGGCTGGATCGCGCTTGATGACAGAGTCGATGGAAACTCACCAGAGGGATCAGGAGTGGTCTGCAAAGCTGTTGCTGGAGGCGAAGTTGGGTAGAATGTGTGCATGGAGAAAAGAGGAGCTGCTAGGCGAGGTCGAACGATTTTGTCGCTGCCGGCTGGGTTCACTAACACGAATGCTCCCGAACCGCCAACGCCCAGGCGGCTTCAGGCTGTCGTCGCTTCCTGGAACTGGACCTACAGCGCCTGTAGCGTGCCGAGACGAGCGCTGAAGCTGGACTTGTTGGGTCGCGGAAGGGCCTATTGCGGCGGCGCTGTCCAAAGGCTGCGCAGACCTGAGTAGCGGCTGTTAGGGCCCTGAAATGGCGGCGTCTAGCTGTCGCAGGTACTGCCAGTATTGAGTTTAGACCGGTAGCCGCCTCAGATCGCATCCATCCAGATGAGGCGAGGCTTCTTGTTTCATCCGTTGCGCTTGGACTGGCTTTGGCGCTTCGATTCTCTTCCTTTCGAGATTTACGCTGGACCGACGATCCATTGCTATTTGATTGCCAATAAATAGCCCCTCAAGCGAGAAAGAGGAGAGGCTGCAGGCAGTTTGGGCCGCAGTCGCCATGCCATGCCATCCCGCGCTCTTACGGCGCAAACAACGTTGAACCTTGAAAGTCAGCGGATGACGGCTGTTTCCACTACAGTAAATCAAGGCCCAGCGACGACGACTCGGCCCTTGGACTCCTCACAATGCGCACTCTATGAGGCTACAAAGGTTCAATGTTACATCAATTCTACAAGAAATGCTGACTAGCCGCTCTAGCACTGGATTTGATCGTCTAGAGATGAATGTCTGGTCGCAATCAACGGCGCCGAGCCTCTCTGGACTAGAAATTAGACAATTGACTGTCAATGCCTTCATCTCCTGCGGGCACAAGGTCCAGCCTGCCAAATTGACCTATGGCACGACGGCATCGCCAAGCCCTCATCCTGCGTCAGGCACCACAGCAGATAAATAGGGCAGCATACATATCGACGGTCACTTTTTGGTGCTGTCCGCCGCTGCACAGTAGGCACGGATGTGGGCGCAGACTCGCCATTGCCATTGCCGTTACGAGACAAGCCTACATGTAGCCGTACATACGTTAGTAGGCGCACATATGTACAGACTGCAGCTGTCCCATGCTGTGAGAGGGTCCCTGGAGTTCAAAGGAGAGCAAGACGGCGCTGAGGCGATGGCAAAGAGGGCCAGAACAGGCATAGGGTGCAGAGACCGCTCGTTTGGCCCGTTTGACCCGTCACCAACTCATCAGTCCCTAGTCTGGTGACCCCGTCGGCCATTTTCGCTACGACGACTCCGTAGTAGCATCATCTATAATTATGGAGTTGTTCGTTGTCAAACTCAACCAGAGGGGGCCCACCCGGACCGGCCAGTCTGCCAGCGAAGGCGACGCCACCAGCCCCTCCTCGCCTGCGATCCCAAGCTGTGGCCGGCAACTGACATGCAGAGGAGAGCCTGGGACTGGCGAGTGAGCGTCGAGCGCGAGGAGCAACGTACGGAGAACATGTAGTCTATTGCCTTAGTACACGCAGCTAGCAGCAATCCTACGGCTTCACACGAAGTATCAGTCGTCTGTGTGTCTTGTGTTTGGCCGCCGTGCGCCGTATATGGGCCTTGGGACGTGGATGGCCATGGATGGCATGCGCAATCAAGCTGCAGCCAGCAAGCAGGACGCTCGCTGGGCGTGCGGACGTGCGTCTATGCGGCCTGGCGCTGATTGATTGCGATTGACTGATTGACTGATTTGATTGACTGATCCGCCACCCTCTCCGCACCTCACGCTGGCAGACAAACAAACATACAGGAAATGGGCCAGGGGTCCTAGGCTCCGCGAAGCACATTCCGACGACCGTAGGCTGGTGCTAGAGGCGGCACGCCCAGAATCAAAGCTCTTGGTTCGACGCCGCAATCCCAGGCTGCAAGTTCACCTTGCTGGCTTGCGATTTGTACTCATAGTGATGAAAAGGAAGAAAAAAAAAAGAGGCAAAAAAAGAAAAGAATGATGAGAAAAGCGCACATACTTGAGCTAGCAAACAGATGTTAATGAGAGAGAGCTACTGTATACTAGTTGGATCGTCGACTCGCCATGACATCCAAGCATTCTTCTACAGTATCGCGGCTGCGGCAGGCGAAAGGGGTGACTGACGGCTTGGAGCACTGAATTTGCCTGCTTTGTGCTTGTTATTAATTCCCGACGACTGCTCAGAGCCAATGGCGCCGCATCAGAGGCCCGGCGCAGAGGCGCCCGTTTCCCTCCTGCAGGGATCATGGAGCAAGAAGCAGCAGCGCAGGTGTGTGGGCTAAGCAGGCAGAGGAGGTGGGGATCGCAACTCTGAGGCGGTAGCGGCAAAGGGCCCAGGCAGAGGGTCTCAGGACGAAGCCGTCACCAGCCAGTGAGTGAGGGACTGGGCGAGGGCCATGGCGGGAAGGCTGTCGAGAGGACGAGGAACCAAGCCAAGGCGGAGCTCATGATGCCGATTCATACCAGCATGACTGCCTGCTGCGTGTCCATTGAATCTGGAATCTGGACCGGGGTCGTGGCCTTGGTTAGTGCTCTGCCGGGGGCTCGGCACCGCTTCGATCCTGCTAGAGCAGAAAGATCGAGAACGACGCTCGGTGAGTCAAAACACCGGGCTTCACTCAACCTTCACGTTTGCGGCGCTGAGCAAGCGTCGAGTGCCCGTGCTGTACCTGTATATCTAATCCACTCACTACATTACCTAGGGAGTATCTGTAAAAACGCTCCCGTCAACGCATGTCGTTCATGCTGGATTCCATGCCAGTTTCCCGAGATTCGACGCTGACTGAAGGTGTGCCTGACAGCCCCTCTCCCGTTGTTGCAAGATCGGCCTAAACTCTCTCATGCGGGCAGAGGAGGGGAAGTCGAGTAGTAATCCAATGTTTGCTTTATTGTGCTGTCATGGGCTGTTAATTCGCCAGCCTCTGGTTGGAGCTACGGCTGCTGGTAAGAGCGTACTAGGTCGCGACACTGTTTATGCGTGGCTTGGCTACGGTATTGCTAGACCGGCAACTGACTTGATCCTTTTTTTTATTCAGGGTTTTTAATTCTTTTCTTTTTTAATTTTTTTTCCCTCCTCGTTTCGCCCCCCATTTCCCCTCATCGGCTCTTACTGCTTTGAGACTCTTTTTGGTGGTTTCTGGAGCAGAAAAAAAGAAACGAACAGCTGGCCAATCCAGCCGTTGCTGTTGCACAAGCTGTGCTTCTCGCTACGTCGCAGACCATGTCCCTTGTATGGGTCCCCCGGCTTCAATGTCCAGTCAGAAGGCGTTTCCAACGCTTCACTGGTCTGTGAGGCGTCCGCGTATCCTGAGGCTACTCGTTGGGTAGGTAGACATTGAGGTCGGGCAGCACGCGGGTGTCCTCGTTGGTGGCATTCTGCATCCGGCGCATGCTTATCTCACCACAGGTCTGCCTGTATCATTTTTGCTTCCACCTCCAGCTTGTGCCTGTTCTTTCACTTGCCCTGTTTCTCACCTAGGTAGGCAAGTTGGTACGGGGTTAGAGGGGCAACATATAACCTGTACCGGCAGTTATTATGGTCGAGGTGAGCAGGGGGGTTGAGTGCGCTTCCTCTAAGCTAGCAGCGCCTGGCTTCGTCTAGGGCGAGCGCCGCATAAAACTGGCACGGTATACGACAAGCGAGAGTCGCTCTCGAAGCGTCTTCTGAGTCGCAGCTCGTCACCGCTTTGTCTTTCCCCCCCGCGCGAGCTTTGATGCATGTGCTGAGAGGCTTTGTGGATACACCAGTTGGGTGGACAAGATGCGTGCCGAATCAGCGCCAGAACTGTGGCTCCCAAGGATCAACAATGGCCATGGCGATAGGACCGCCCAGCCATCGACGGCTCAAGAGCCCCGTTCTCCTCTCCTGTGTGTGTGCCTTGCGGCAAGTGGCCAAAGTTTATGATCGCCTGCATTCTGGGACCCAGAATGGACGGTAGACGCAATCCAATCCAGCCTCCCAATGAAATGCCGCCCTGCAAAACCAACAAGTGCGGTGTGTGGACTCGAGTGTGCGTTGTTATTGTTTCGGCCATGCAAGTGATGATGAGACGAGGGGGGCTTCTTCTGCTTCCGCTTGGTGCTTTTTACTTGTAGGCCCAATGAATTGCGGATCTCGTCGCTGCCATGCACTCACTCACTTTTCCCTGCCGGCTTTTATTTACGAGGCACCTTCTTTCAATCTCCTGATTCTACGATGCATGCACGCCTAGACGGAGCACACATGCGGCGTGGCACCGGCGAGCTTCCTGTGCTGCCGCAATATGCGCCGTCCGGGTTTGGTAGTGTTTGCTGTTTGTCCAGCACTTGACTGTAGAGCCGTTTCGCCATGTACACGATCATACCCTAACATGACTTGCCAGAATGCAGAATCGAGAAAACACTGTGGTGCTAGCTGACGCTAGAATCACTTTGAAACGGATTCAAAGGCCCAGCCATATGCGGCCGGATCGGCACGCACAACGCGCAATTGCGCTCGTTGCCCCCAGGGTCATTCCGCTGCATGGAAAATCGACCAAGTGACTCAACCGAAGCGTAGAAGATGTAGGTGGTAGGTAATTGATGGTAGCATGTGCGCGACGGATATCAGAGCTTCTGTATAGCGGTATATGATAACAGTCCACCCGGCTGCCGTTGTTGTTCTCAGAATAAGCTGTACAAAGTATGGAGCACGGGGCAAGATATTCATCTCGGTGGCGATGCTGTATTTAATGAGTAAGATTATGATATCATATTATCAAACCCGCACAAATTCGCTCATTTGGGTGGCTGCGGGCTTGGAATTTTGCACAGCAACAGTAGAGACAGATCTAAGCATAGGCTTGCTTCTTGAGGCTCCTGTTCTTGTTTGCGATGCGACTGGCTGATTCACAAGAGACACGGCCTTTATCCGCTTCGGGCGATCAAATCTGGTCGTCTGGAGGGCGTGGGACCGGGCGCATCGAACATACATATCAACACACAGTTCCATTCGAAGCCGGAAGACACGACTTCGTAATCGCCAAGACCTCTGGACAGAACAATCGTGGCTGAGGCGGG